CCATTAGACATTAAGAGGCATTTAAAATGATAGTTCTTAAGAGACTATATATTGGTGGAATGGTAAACAAAGAGCATGGGAAAAGGCAGAGTCCAGAAACAGGCCACACACACACGGATGCTTAATTTTGATAAAGGTGCTACTGCAGGGAAGCAAGGCACAAACAGTGTTTTGAATAATGGTGCTGTATCAAAAGGATATTTTTATGAAAAAATATGGCTCATCAGCCCTATGTCACACCATACACAAAAACCAAACCCACATTGATATCTAAGTGTTTGAGGTAAAACAGTGAATCTTCTAGAACAGTGGTCCCCAACCTTTGTGGCACCAGGGACCAGGGTGGGGTGGGAGACACAGGAGGTGGGGCTCAGGCGGTAATTTGAGCAGAGTCCATGGAGGTTAGGGACCCATGTTCTAGAAAATATTACTAGAGATAACCTTGGGTAGGCAAAGATCTTTCAAATAGGACACAAGCACCACTGATCTTTAAGGGTAAGATCAGTAAATTGGGCTATGTTACAGATAAGGAATTTCTCTCTGTGGTAGGCAGTGAAATCAGTGTGAGCGGAGCAAAGGACCACGAACCAGGTACAGAAGGTCCCTAGAAAGGGACCGCAGAAAGCTCTGAGTGCCTAGCAATGGGCCAACTGGAAAAACAAGGACTCATCCCCAGGTGACCTTTTCTCCCCTGGCATATCAGAGGTCATGCAGTTTAGATGCCCTGACCTTTCGTATAGCTGGTCATGTAGTTCGGACCCTCCCCTCCTCACTGTCCCCCCCCCCCGCGTGTTGCTAGTCATGCTGTTGGACCCCCTTAGAGGAGGAACGAACGCAGGGCCCAGAGGTAGCCCTTCAGCATTAAGCTCCCAGGACAATGAGGTTCTGTCTCACATTAGCTACTCTGGGCCTCAGTTGTGTTTCAACTCCAGGCCCAGAAAAGCAGTGAAAGCAGACGAGTGAAGACACGGTGGCTGACGTCAGGACCAGTGAGTAGAGGCCACGGCCCAGAAAGGACACACTTGGAAAGCTGGTGAATGGTCTATTGGATCCTGCCCTGAGGCCTCCAGATGAATATGGTCAAGGGCGAGGACCCAGTGCGGCTCTCCCCGGGGGGCACGCCCGTGCCTTTCCCCACCAGACTCGTGTTCTCTTACCCCTCTCGTTCTTTTTTCTGTTTTTTCCCTTCTCTCACAGTCTTTTACTACCAAGACACTTTCCTTTTTTAAAACAAATATTTTACTTATTTACTTTAAGAGAGAGAGGAAGGGAGGAAGAAAGAGAGGGAGAGAAACAGCGACGGGCGAGAGATCCATCCATCAGTTGCCTCTCGCGCACCCTCAACCAGGGACCTGGCTCACAACCCAGGAAAGTGTCCTGACTGGGAATCGAACCAGCGACCCTTTGGTTCACAGGCTGGCACTCAGTCCACTGAGCCACACCAGCCAGGGTGCTTCTCTCTTTCTACTAAGCCCCAAGGACCCCTCTTTTGTCTCTGCGGCTTGTTTCCTGAGCCTCTGTCTTCTACTGCTCACTTCTTCCACTTCTGTGACTTTCTAAGTAAACTTCCTCCTGTAGTTGGAGTCTAGGCTCTGGATTCGTCCCTAGCCAGGACTAAGTACCCGTGTTGCTGAATCAAGGCCCAGCCTGACCCCACCGGTCCAACACGTGGTGCCGTTCTCACTGCCATCAGTGCCTCCATCGGGGACTGCATTTGGAGACAGAAGAGCGAGCCGGGGAGGGGACAATGTATTTGCAACACAATAACTAAGGATTTCTCCAGCTCCCTCATTGGTTAAATGAGATACTATAGCACTGGGTCTGCTGTGTGGGGAGTGCTTTCAAAATTTGAAAGTCTCATAACCGGGGCCTCCGGGCCAGGAGGACGGCACTTCACGCCATTTCCCGGCAGACAGAACCTGCCTCCTGTTTTCACCCTCTACAAAGAAAGATGTCATCTTCCTCAGCCACCCTTTTACAACCCTCACAAATCGGTGTGGAGGGCAGTCCCTAGGGTGTCCCCTTTGCCCCCCAGCTGCAATCCGCATGCAGACCAGGTGTCCAGTCCTGAGTCATACCACAGAAGCGTTAAGCCGTGCACAGGGGAGGGGAACGTGGCTTTTACCCTCAGCTGTGTCAGCCCACTGTGGGGGATCCCTGAGTGAGCTCAGAGTGACAGGGAAGGGCTGGCCAGGAGGGAAGAAGCCCTCTCTCCTTTCAAACATGTCATTTATCCTAACAAGTCACCAGGATTCCCAGAAGCAGGAAAGAGGGGACTTTTAGAACGGCATCGAAGGGGCCAGTCACCTCCTTCCTGCTGAGACAGGAGAAGCCAGAGCTCAAATGGGGAACATTCTGACCTGTGTGGGTGGAGAAGCACTTAGGGAGGCCAAGAGCAGTGGTCACGCCCCATCGTGACCCCATACTACCCCTCGGCAGAGAGACTCGGATTTGCTTCTAGCTGTCCTTCCTTTTGTTCCTCCCCAGGAGGGAGACTCAGAGTCTGGAAGCATTGAGCCACTAATATGAAGCCAGGGGCTGTAAGGATAAAGATCCTTGAACAGGCCCAGTCCCATGGGTTTCAAGGGCCAGAGGCTTCGCGGCTAGGATAGCATCAAGCCCTGTGTGCAAACCTTTCTGTGGTTCACAGACCCTGCCTGCTCCCTGGCAGCCCTGACCCCTCCACAGCCCCGCGGACTGGGCATTAGCCTTACCCCCATTTTACAGGCGTCCAAGCTGAGCCCTGGAGAAATAGCTACTTACCCAACGCAGCTCTCAGGCGACAGGCCTATCCCACCCACTTCATAGTCGGCCTCCATCAAGATACCAATAATAAAGATAGCAGGAATCACCACTTTTGAGCCAGGCATGTAGTCAAATAGGTGCTTCACGGCCATTAGCTCACTTGCCTCAGAAGGACCCAGAACTAGGTGAGAGCACCCCATTCTACGGGCTCGGAGAAGGCGGCAGCAATAAGAGAGCACGCCTGGTGCCGGGCACCGTTCTCAACACCGTAATGGACACTAACCCCTCGATCTGCCCAGCAGTCCTGTGAGAATACGTGCCGGTGTCATCTCCATGTCAGAGACACAGAAACTGAGGCTCGGAGACATTGGAGGCCACACAGCCAGCGAGTGACAGAACCGGGATTTGAACCAAGCACTCTTACCACTATTCCGCATCTGGCAATACGGACCACTTACCCAAGGTAACCCATCTAGACAAAGTCAGAATCTACCTGAAACTCTTGCCCCACTGAAAACCTGGGATCTTCCCCCACGGTGATCCTGGCGAGGGTAGGGCTGGAGGGCCCCTCTGGGTCATGTCTCTCCATCTAAGAGACAGCTTCCAGCCAGTCCGTCTCCAGAAACAAGACACATGGGGACAGAGCCCTACATGGTGGCATCTGGCCCAGTCACACCTACAAAGCTGGGACCCCAGCCCGCCAACCTTCTTTGCCAGTTTCCCGTCTCTGCCTGCCGCTCACTGGCTGAAACCAGCCTGACTCTCCTTTCCTCCTGTGGTCTCCACGGGGAGCTCTGAATGGGAGGCAGAGAGGGGTTGGAGGGAGAGTAGAGAAGGCCGCCAACAAGCCCTGCCTTCCACTCCGGGAGGAGGAAGAGGAGCTGGGTGAGGGTGAGGGGCGCTGGGGAGTGGTTCTGGAGTTGTGAGGAAGGAAGGGGTAGCCTAGCAACCACTGGCTCCTGAGTCACAAAGCAGACAGGCTTGCCCACAGCACCCACAAGCCTTCCCTTTGACTGTCCTCTTGCTCCTTCCTGTTTGAGCAACAGGGGCTTCTCGCCCATGTGCTGGAGTGGGCCCCTGCCCTGGTGAGTCCAGGGATCTGTCCAGGGCAGGAAATGGATGCTAGAGCCAGACTGGGGCCCAAGGGAGGGCCCAGAGGGTCTGAGATGCAGGGGGGGATGTTCTGTCCCTGGGCTTTTGTGAGCGTTCAAACTCCTTGTGCCTGGCCGGCTGGGGGCCCACGGGGAGAGGGGAGTAAGGGGAAGACAGGCCTGACCCCTTGATGGCCGCTGTGGGGTGCGACCCAGCAGCATCTTATACAATCAGTTTAATGGATCACGTCTAACATTTCTGGAGCTTCCGGAGTTTCTGGGTTCTCCGGAGCCCCTTGAAGAATCTGTGATTCCGAGTGATAATTTTCAGAATGCACCAACTTCCCGTTCTTTCCAACGCTGTCCCTGGCACCGGAAGCCCCCAGCACTTTGGCAGCATGTGCCTGTATTCAGGCCCATAGATTTAGATGGATCTCCATTCTTGGCTTTGGCACCTGCCATCTTGCACCCGTGTCATTTAATTCATTTACCTAATAACACAATGGACACCAGCAAACAGACCTCCCGAACCGAGACCCGGCGTGTCGCCACAAGCACATAGTAGGTGCTCCTCTCCCCGCCACCTGCCCGCTCTCGGGAAGAGCTGCTAGCTGAATTCTGTGATTCACATTTCCTTGCTTTTCTTTTCTCGTTTCATCACTTGTTGAAGATAATTTTACTTGCTTTTGAACTTTATGTTTAATAAGGATCTCAAGCTATGCGGTCTTCTGCAACTTGCTTTCCTTGTCTTAGCATTCTATTTGTGAAATTCCTCTAAGTTGTGTATAGACGTGGTTCATCTGTTTTAGTTGCGACATAATTTCAATTGCCTGAATGTAGCACAGTTTATTTACTCACTCTTCTGCCACTGGACACTCAGGTTGTCCTCAGGTGTTTACTAGTCTGATCCGTGTTGGTTTGAACAGCCTTACAAACAGCCCCACCTGGACACGTGTAGGAGTTGCACGTGGGCACACACATGGGAGAGGACCTGCTGGCTGGTGCGGTATGCTAATGTTCAGTTTTACAAGATATTGCCAACCTTTTTCTCCCAACGTGTCTGTTCCAGTTCAGTGCCTCACTGCCAGTCTGTGAGAGCTCCGGATATCCATCTTCAACACTAGTGTTAAGTGCACCGATCTTGATCCTAATAGAGAGCATACAATGGCTACAGAGGTGACAACCCAACTGGCTGAGCATCTGCTGAGGTGAGGCCCCAAACGTCTACCCTGCTGACCCGAGGAGGTGGTGGGAACAACAGTGGCCTCAGGGGAACTCAACAGACTGAGGAGGGTCCAAGGGAGGCAGTCCCTCCTCACCTCCCACTGCCATGAGCGAGGTCCCAAATGGGTTCTCAGGCCTGAGGTACCTTAGGTCACGGACAGGACCCCTCTCTGCGTGGGGAGAGGGTATGGTAGTAGGGGCCAGGAGCGCTGAGCACAGGAATTCCAGGGATTTTCAAGGGGTGACTTTGTCAGTTGGGGGTTAGGGGAGGCCAGCTAAAGTAACTTTCAGGAAAGGTTTGATTTATTTCTTTAAGCCCCAGATCCCTTAGGAGCGAATCAAGGACGGAAGAGGAAACTCAGAGGCCTAGTCAGCAAAATCCTCAGAGAGTCCTGAGGCAGAACCCCTTGCTTAGCATATCCAGAGTCCATCTATACTCCAGGACTCCCTCCAGCCAGGGCCACCGGGAGAAGGGACAGCAGATGGCGAGCAGGCAGGTGGTCCCACCAGGCACCGGGCAGAGAGCAGCCCACCTTCAGATCCTTGCTGGATGCACTTCGACCTCTTCCTTCAGGGACAGAGGCACAGCGTGCGCAGGAGAGGGAAAGGGTGCAGAGTGGAGGACAGAGAACCTGAGACGGCTTGTCTCCAGTGAAGCGAAGCAAGCGCTTGAAGCTTCCCTGCAGCGTTGCACCCCCCAGAGCTGCACCATCAGCTCGGCATCTCCTGGGAGGGGCTCCCACAGGAAAAGGATTTGCTGGTGTAGTCTGACCTTGAGGCCTGCTTTGGCCCCCAGTGCTGAGTCTGGGCTAGAACTGCCCCTGATGGAACGAGCGGGGGGCACGGGGGGAGGAGTGACAGCCTACAATTGGCTTCTCTTGGGCTGCCAATATCTGGCTTGGGGGGAAAGCCTTGCTGGGTCAGCCCTCTGGTTCTGGAAGAATATATAATGTGCCTTTGCTTCAGTCCAGGTATTTGGATGAGTAGGTGGGTCTATAGCTTCTCTTTCTGGCTAGAGAGATGGTTCCTTCGAGAAAACTGGGATCCTGGGGAATTCCATCTGCCTTCTCTCAGAGGGATCCTAGCTCCCTGCTAGGCACCTTAGGAAGGCAGAAGCCTCCCTGGGACTGGGGATTGTTCCAGTTAGGAAGTGATTCCCCCCACCCACCCACCCAGGCCCAGCTTTGAGCTCAGGTTGGGGTGGGGGAGCGGGGGAGGGATGTTGTAGAGAAATCCTGGAAACCACATTTCAGAGTATCTCAGGAATGGACTCTGTACTAAGCCCCGAACTCTGAGTCTGGGCAGGCACCGCTGCCCGGAGGCTTCATTAGCTTCTTAGTAACCCTCTTCTTCAGTCCAAGGGCTGAGCCGAAGGCTGAGAAGCCAGAGCACACGCCAAGAAGCCACAAGACCGACAGGCCACAGAAAGAACCGCTGGTCCCAGGGGTTGTGGACTTCAAGGTGATCCCAGAGGCACCGAGGACCCCCAAGCCCCAAGTCCCTGGCACCTGCCGCTTCGGCCGCCTCAGCCACCACTCCTTCTTCTCCCGGCATCACCCCCACCCACAGCGCGTGACCCACATCCAAGGTAGGGCAGGGGTGGCTGGCCGCTGGTGGTGGGGATCTTTAAATCCTGGAAAGGGTGGATCCAGCCCCTAGTTCTAGGCTGAGGCCCAGAGAGCATGGGGACTTGGCCAGGCTCACGGAGCTGCTTGGCTCCTTGCAAGCACTTGGCCAAGCCAAGACTTAACTTGAGGGTCAGGCCAAGGGCAGACCACATGGCTCTACAGAGTTTCCCTTATTGCTGATCATCCCATAAATCGGAGAAAAGGGCGAATGTTCCGCCTCGGAGCTGCACTCTGTTCGCCAAAACCGGTCATTTCGCCAACCCAGCAGTGTCTACTGAGTGGGAACTCCATATGAATCAGGCACTTTCTTAGACCCTGGGAATATGACAATGAACAAGACAGTCCCGGTCCTCAGGAGCTAACTCCTGGGGGTGGGGGGAAGGACGGGAGACAGACCCGGCATCAGAGCATGGTGAGCGCCAAGGCTGTAGAGGGGGAGAGCTGACCAATGGCATGACTTTTGAGCAAAGAGCTAAAAGAAGGGAGGGGCTGGAGGAATCAGCCATGTGGATGTTGGGGCTGGAGGGCAATGTCCTGGGCAGAGGGAAGAGCGAGTGTGAGGGCCCCGAGGCAAGTCTCCTGCCTCTATTGGTGGGACAGCGAGGAGGCCAGTGTGGCTGGCACAGAGTAAGGAGGAGGAGAAGCAGATGCAGCAGAGAGGCAATGGGGACCCAGGTCATGTGTCCCTGGAGGCCACTGTAGCCATCACTGAGCCCTGTCACTGAGTCAGATGAGAGCCACCGAAAGTCGAGAGCATAGCAGTGTCAGAAGTGACCTGTTGGCCTCTGTCTGGGTGGTGGCTCGAACCAGGGAGGTCTTAGAGGGAGAGTCAGTGGCCCTGCTCTAGAGATACACGGAAGGTAAAGCCAACGACATCTGCTGACTGATTAAAAATAGTGCGAGAGGGAGGAGTCAATGTTGACTCTCAGGTTTGGGGCTCAAGCGACTGGAAAACCGGAATTGCATTGGCTGGGATGAGGATGACTTCAGAAGGGGCTGTGGAGGATGGGGGAGGAGTCAGGAGTTTAGTCGGGGATGTAAGAGGTTCAGAATGTGGGATGTCTTTTGGACATCCAGGTGGAGACACGGAGGAGGTCTGGAGTTCTGGGGAGAGGTGCAAACATGAGAACGATTCAAGGACGGATGGTGGTGGAAGTGGCGTACCTGGATGGGACTGTCCGGGAGACTGTGTGGATAACCTGGGGGCCGGGCCCCAGGGACCCCAAGGCTAAGAGGCTGAGAGCAGGAGTAAGCAACCAAGGAAATGAGGAGTGGCTGGCAAGCTAGGACAAGCCAGGAGAGTGAGGGGCCTGAAGGGAAAGTGTTTCAGGAAGGAGACAGTAAGCCTTCGTTCTGCCCTGATAAAGCTGGCCCTGGACGCTGAACTATCTAGCAGTAACATGGTATCACACAGACCGAAGGCCGAAGGGTCTGCAGGTGTATGCTGCCTGCCACTACTTCCAGGCTGCCTGGTACTCAAGCCTGCACAGGCCGACAGATGGCAAAAGGTTTTATCCAGAGGCTTTAGCTAAATCTCACTCTCTGTGGTTTGAGCCCAGGTCCCTCTCATCAGAGACTATGGCTTATTGCCTCCACCCCCCTGTATCCCTTCTCAGTCTGCTTACCTCTGTATGCTCACACTTGTCATAGCCAAACAGACCTCAGGACCAGGGTCTCGGGAAGCCCGACTTGCTGTGTGATACTGAGCGCATCACTTGGCTGTCTGTTCTTAAGTGCCTGGGGTAAGGTCCGGGAGGTCGCACAGGCCCTCCAGGCCCTAATGACCTATGAATGGGCTGTGGGCACTGGAAGAAGCAGGGCCAGCACTCCCCCTGCCCAGGCTGCTGGGGCTCTTGTGGGCCACACAGGCCCCCCTCCCGCATCCTCCACCCCTTCGCAGATCTTACCGGGAAGCCCGTCTGTGTCGTCCGGGACAAGTCCTCTCTGTCTCGTCTGCCTCAAGCCGCACTCTTATCCCACTGCCTGATGGGGATGCCCACTGTCCCTGCTCCCGTTGGAGACCCGCAGTCCAATCGGGACCCCCGGCTTTTTTCTGGTGGGTATTTGGGGCACAGACCCTCTGCCTTGGGGTTTTGCCTCTCTCCAAGGGGTGTCCCACTTGCATAGGTGCCTGAGAAAAAAATAGGATCAACCGGATTCCCTCATTTCTTCCAGCATCTGCATCTACATTATTCTCCCACCTCCCAAGTCCTCAGAAATGCCCTTGCTTGGATTTGAGGTGTTTGAGGAGTAATCACAAGCAGAGGACAAGCAGATTTGGGCAACAGTCATATAACTTACAGCTACAAACAGGAACGATATTGGAGAGATTTAGTGCTTGTCAGAACAGTCAGCTATGGTGGCAGGCTACCGCGCGCTCGAGGCCTCTGCTCTGCCAGGCCCCGCCCTTTCTGTCATGGGGCGGGGGCGGGGCGGGGGGCGGGGCGGGGGCGGAGCAGTGTCCTGCCGAAGGAGCTGGTGCAGCCTGCGGACAGAGCGGTTTGGGAGGCTTGGTCAGGGCTCTGTACCACTCTCTCCAGTAGACCAATATTTTAGTAACTGGCACTGCGTATCAACTGAATCTCAATCTTGGTTTCAGTTTCCTAAAAGGGACAAAGGTAGATTAAACCACTCACATCTTGGCATAAATATTCGAATGCTCTCCGGCGGCTCCCAGTCAAGCCACAGGCTAGGATAACCACAGCCCCTCCATAGCCCCTCCTACCCGCCGACAGTGCGACTCTTAATCCTTCCTCCAAGGGCACCACCTCCCCTTCCCTTTAAGATACAGGTGGACAACTGGGAGGAGAGGATGCTCTTCCACCTACAGCCCCCCAACACCTGATGCCACAGGGAGGGCAAGGAGAGGGGCCCCAGACATCAGTTGCCAGGGTCTTGTCCCCTTCCCCCAGAGGCCTGGAAGAAGGAGTTGAAGGACCTGGCTTCCCAGGTGGTCACATTCGGCAAGGAGAATGAGCCGAAGGACAAAGAGGTGGGTGCAGAACAAAGGAGCTGTTTGGGAAGAGACGCCACGGGCCCAGCCCTTTGTAAGGAAGCCCCGCCCCAATCTGGCCGACCTGATCAGCAAAGGAGCAAGAGTGCTTGGAGCGCTGCTGTGCACACGGGGCGGTGGGACCACAAGTACCAGCCCAAGGGAGGCGGCCACAGTGAGGCCTCAGAGGAGCAGAGAAATGTAGGGGGAGTGGGAGCAGGGGCAGAAATGCGGGAAGGATTCCTAGCTCAGAAGTGCGAGGGGCATCCTTGCAGAGGCACACAGCGTGGAAGCTCGGAAGCTGGAAAACGCAGGACATATTCAGAGAGCAGGGAGCTGAAGTGTGGAGCAATGGTGGAGAAGGTGGGAAGGGGCCGACTTAGAATGTGGGCAAGAGCAGCTTGTTCTGATTTCTGAACTTAGTGTAGTACCTAATCTCATAAGGAGTGGAGAGCCACTGAAGAATTTTCAAACAGGAGTGGAGTGGCCTTATGGGTGCCATTTGCTGACCAGTAAAGATGAGTTGGAGGCAGCTTAAAGGTAGTAGAACTGGTCCTAGGACAGGCCTGGCCCTTTGTGGGCGAGTCTCGTCCTGCGCTTGTGATGGGCAGCAGAATTCTCATCTCTGCTCCAAAGCTAACTCACTGTGGCTCTGGGGGCAACTCAGCTAAATGGTCTGGCTCTCAGTTTTTCTTATCTTTAAAATGGGAAAAAAGATCTTACCAGTCTTAACTGGAGTTCCCGAGTCTAGCGGTGCCGGACCTCGTGCCCACAGGCCCAGCCTAGGAGGGTTTCCCAGGGCTAAGAAAGAATGCCAAGCTGTGGGAGACATAGCTGGGGGCAGCTGAGCTAGGAATTAAGGTAGGTGTGGGGACCTCAGCACAGAATACTGATGGGCTGGGGGGAAGGACCACAGTGGGTGGCCGGTGTTCAATGAAGTTTCAGGAGGAAGAGCTTTGGCCACAAGGGAAGGGCCCCTGCTGGGGAGAGGGGTGTAGAACAGGGTGGGGCTGGCCTGTTCCATATTGATGTTCCACATCAATGCTATGATGCTGAGGTTCCAGGAAACGAGGTGGTAGGCACCCTGGAGACGTGACCCAGCTTCCTATTCTCTTCCCCTCTGCCCTCTCTCCCATCTGTCTGTCTGTCTGTCTGTCTGTCTGTCTCTGTATTCCATATCCCCACCCCTGGAGTCCCTGGACACTTTTCTTCCAGCAGGAGGAGCCTAAACGGGAGCAGGGGGCAAAGTACTCGGCAGAGACCGGGAGGCTCATCCCTGCTGCCACCCGAGGGCTCAGCCGCCGCCACTCCCGCCAGGGCCCAGGGAGCTACACCTCCAGCAGAGATGGAGGAGTCCAGAACTATGTCCTGCAGGATCAGGAGCTGCTGGTGAGACCCTGGGAAGGCCGGGGACTGCGGCCCTAAAGAGGCCCTGGTTTGAGGCCAGAGAACAGGGTGGTGTTGCTCCCAGACCTACTGCGATCCCAACTAGAACTCTTACAAACTGCTAAGGGTGAACTCTCCTGGGGACACTTGCACCTAAGACTGTAAGACCCGAAAACTCCAGACCTGGGAGTCAGGAGCCCAATCCTCTGCTGCTTCCAGGTTTCTGTGTAATCTTTCCCCTTTTTGTTAAGTCCTTTCCCCTCTTCGGGCCTTAGTCCCATGATCAAGCCAAATGGGGGGAATGGACACGTTATCACTAACGTCTGTTCCCACTTTGGCACTTGGCAAGTTAACGAAGGGAGCTGCAGTGGCGGAGTGAGAAGCGTGGAGACAAAGGTCCTGCCCAGTGTGTCCTCAGACCATCTCCGTGTGTGGCACCCTGCCGCCTGCAAGGCTGGCCCCAGCCTCGTCTCCCCACACTCTGAGAGGCATCTGGTCTGTGCTACACAAAGCACAGAGCCCCCCACCCCACATTCAAGTTTCCCCATCAAGGCCTGAGATGAGTCCATGACCCATTCCAGTGGGTTAAGGTATTGAAAGTCCCTGTTAAAATGCACACATGTTCTCCAGGAAAGGCCAGACAATTAGCCAGAATCTCAAGGCCTTGCCTGTGACCAGTGCAGTCAAAACAGCCCAGTGACCTGAGTGGAGCAGACAGGGCCCCAGATCCTCATTTCACAGATGGGGAGGCTGAGGCTCCCCCAGGTGACATTTTGTGGCCCAGGTCCCCATAGAGGAAGCAGCACAGCTGGGACTAGAACACAGTACTTTCTCCACCATAGGGCGGCTCCACCTTGCCTGGAAATAGGTTCTCAGGTTCCCTGGGGAGGGTGCACAGGGCAGGTAAGTTGGATGCTGGGGCAACTGAGAAGGACCCTGGGGCAGAGTGGGGGCAGGGTCACCACAGAGGGTGGGTACCTGGGGGCAAGGGCGGACACCCTAGCAGGCATAGGCCTGGGGGTGAGGCAAGCCCAGGTTCCCCTCTGACCTCCGCTGGTTCAAGTGGGCTCTCCTGAAAGAAGGAACCCCCTTTCCTAGGACACCAGGTGCTCCATCTCCCATCGAGGGCTCAAACTCCAGCCAACCACAGACACAGCCGCCACCAGCATCATGTCCTAGGGAGCCCCCGTAGCCCTTTCAAGACAGAGCTGGATCTTTTCCCAATGATCCTTCACTGGCGGATGCAGGGGGGAAAGGGCCCTGAAGCAGCAAAGATGGCAGATGCTGAGGACACAGCCGCAAGCAAAACGAGCATGTTGCTCGGTGGTGGGAAGGAGCCCCGAGCTGAGCAGCTTGCAGGACCAGCAGGCCCCCACTGGGGTCACCCCGCCTCTTTGCTAACATCTCCAGACTCTGAATTTGGGAACTTCAGGGTGGGGAGGCTCTTGGGGTCCCTGAAATCCCCACACCAAGGATTCGGGCATTTGGGACTCGGTGCGTCTCTGAGGAGCTGACTGTCCAGCTCTGGCTTCGCCTTCCCAGGGAGGGACTTGGGGTGCAACCAGCCCAAGCAGGGTTCAGAGATGAGGGGTCCACCTATCTGATTCTGTGGGTTAGTTTTGCCTCCACCTCCCTGCTAGGTACCCTCCTCCCTCAAGGCCTCAGATTGCTTACCTGTTCAGTGAGGCATTTAAGACTCTTCCCCCAGGGCTGCTGGGAGAGCAAGCCCTCTGTAGAGTGCAAAGTCCCATGCAGATGGGAGGCAAGGACGATTGTGGGGACCATTTTAGCCAAGCGTGTGGCTCTGGAGCCCACTTCGGGGGGCAGGCACCCACGTTGCCCGCTGGAACAGGCCATTCAGCGTGCTGACCCCCGTCTGTCCTGCCCACAGATCTTGGAGCTCCTTTGTCAGATCCTGCAAACAGACTCCTTGAGTGCTATCCAGTTCTGGCTGCTCTTTGCTCCCCCCAAGGGTGAGACTCAGCCCCACCCCAGATCATCCTCATAGTAGAGGCTGTTGAGGGCCTTGTCCGCTGGTTTGGCAGCATTCCAATGTCACCGGGCCTTCTGCCTAAGCCTCGAGTCCCCAGGATATCCGTGACCTGCTCCTGGGAGGGGACCCCTCCTTTGCACTGACCGCAGGCCTCGACACCTGGGAGGGAGGAGTCCAAAGACCAGACTTAGTGGACTCAGTGCCTCACCCACCACCGTGGACAATACGCACACAAATGCAAACACACACATGTGAACACATGAAAGGATATAGGCACACACACTGGGATTGGGGGCAGAGGCTATGCCTAAGTGGGAAGGTGAGGAGCGGTGAGAGCCGAGAGCTGATTGGGGTGGCTTCCTGATGGGAAGAGTGAAGGGGGAGGAGGAGGGGACAGGTCCCCTATGGGCTTCCCAGATGGGCCAGGGTGTGTGGTGGGCAGGTGGGCCAGGAGCAAGGTAAGGTGCACATGAAGAGGTGTGGAAGGGCTGGGCGCACGGCACACACAGGGCCAGGGAGAAGTAGGACCTCCCCGTGGGGCCCTGTGGGCAGAACGTGAGGTGGTTAGAGAAAGCTGCCCTGGGCCAGGGTTAGGCGGACGGGCTGGAGGCCCCACTTCCTGCATGTCCCATTCAGGGCCAGAATGGGGTCTGGGGGTCATGCCCCTGAGGACTGCTCCCGCCTCTGCTTACAGAGAAGGACTTGGCCTTGGGGCTCCTGCAGACAGCAGTGGCTCAGCTGCTTCCCCAGCCTCTAGTCTCCATCCCCACAGAAAAACTCCTAAACCAGCTCCAAGAAGTCCAGGAACCACCTCAAGAAAGGCAACAGCCATCATACAGGTGGGCTTCACACCCCTCACATGCCCCTCCATTCCCAGAACTGTTCCCTCACATTTACCACCTGTCCTCTCAGGTGAGGCTAGTGGGGTCCGGAGAAGGGAGGCGGTGCTGGCCAAAGCCTGGGTTCCCTGAGCCTGTCCGGGAGGGGGAGGTGAGCCTCTCCCATGGGACCCTCCAGGGCTACTTGTGCTGCTCAAAGACCCAGTCTGCCAGACCAGACTCCAGCTGCCAGCTGTGGGGGCACCCAAGGGGGTGACCTGTGCCAGCTGTAGCAAGACAGAGCTGGAGAACGGCAGCTAGCCCTCCAGAAGCTCTTGGGAAGACAAGTGGAGAAGGAGCGCTAACAGGCAGGCAGCGGTGCCTCTACGTTGGCATTAAGGGCCCTGGACGGCCGGAGAGAAAGAGACCAACCCCAAGTGGGGAAAGGAGAGGTGAGGAAAGGCCTCACAAAGGTGAGGGGGGCCAGACGGCCAGCGCTGGCGCCTGCAGTACTGGGTGCCCGTGATAGCTGCCTGCCATCGCTGGGTGCCTTACATGGCTCTAGTCCACACAGCCACCGGTGGAGGCCCTATCACCTCCATTTTACAGATGAGAAAACTGAGGCTCAGAAACAGAATAACCACAAGTCACCTGGCTGGTCAGCGGAACAACTGGGATCGGACTTGGGCTTGCCTGCCTTATATGCCCGGCTGTGCTCAGATTCACAGCAGAGCTCGTTCAAAGTAAAAATTCCCAGAGAGTCTAACACAGCCGGTGGCGTGAGAGGCGGGTACACAGGGACTGTGTATTTTTAACAATCACCCAGGTATTTCAGCTACGGCTTGGAGAGCCCTGTTGGGTGAATAGGACTTGAACGAGGGAAGGTGGGGCGGGCGGGTGCGGGGGAGCAGAGTGTCAGGAGTGGAATCAGGGATGTGTGCACTTAGAGGATGTTAGGCTGTGGGGTGGCTGCAGCGTGATGGGCTTGGGGAGGAATAGGCAGGTGCTTGTGCTCACTTAGATTTGTTGAAGGTGCGGGTGCTGCGTTTGGTTTTCTCTTCCACTTTGGGAGGCCGGGGGGGGGGGGCAGAGGAGCAAGGCCGGCTTGCCTCACTGTGGCCTTGGTGAAGCCTGTCTGAGCCTCAGTTTCTCCTCTCCACAGCCCCTCTCCCATAGTTGTAGGGAGGACGGATTACATCCGGTGCGTGAAAAGGCTTGCTGAAGTGTAAAGCCGATAGGAGATAATACAAGAGCCTTGTTAGTGCTTATAAGTAATCCATCAGGGAAGCCGGTTCTCATCTTCCCCACTAAGGGGGAAGGTTCCTGTCTGAAAGGAGGCAAGAGACCAAGAGAGCCTGCCTGGGGCGGAGCTGGCAGAGTGGCCTCCATTCCCTGTGGCCATGGCAGGTGGTGGAGTCACAGTTGTCAGGGTCCCCCTTGGGGTGGTGCCACCATGGACAGACACACTTGCCAGTTCTCAGGGAGGACTGGCTCCTACCTCTCCCCGGAGAACCTTGCTCGCCTCCCCGTCCACGCTGCCGCTCTGCCATGACCCGCCAGCCTGGCTTTCCCCGACCTTCTTTTTTCTGTGTTGGTTATAGCCAATCCCCGAAGAAGTCCAAGGCAACAGCTCTACCAGAAAGCGAAAAGCCAGGTAAGATTCCACGTGGCAGGTCCCCGAGGCTCATCGAGGCTCACCCTGGCTGGATTCCTTGGGGGGTTTAAGACTCCTTGGAGATGGGCCTCTGTCCAGAGAAGCTGTTCATCTCATCCACTCATCCATTCACTCATTCATCTGTTCAACAGAAACTTACTTAGCACCTGTGTGCCAGGCTCCAGGGATCGTTGGGAAGAATTCAGACAAGTCCCTGCTGTCGGGGAGCTTGCATTCTCGGGAGGAGGTGGGCAGGCAACAAATAAAAGCGTCGGAGGGGCACTCGTGCCATAAGGAAAGTAGGATGGGGTGATGTGGTAGACAGTGAGAAGGCCTGGCATGGTGAGGAGAGGGCTCCTTGAGCTGAACGACTGGACAGATTCAGTCCGAAGCAGGTCAGGGGAGAGGCTACAAACAGGAGTCCTACCTCCTGGTGTGATGGTGAAAGAGTGAGCGGACCAGGGTGACCCGGGCCTTGTGGGTTGGGGACAGTGGTAAGAAATGAGATGAGACAGATGGACCTGGTCTGTGGTCTCATGCAGAGGACACGGGTACACTGGAGGGTTAGGGGCAGCACCCCTCTGATTTCTGTATGGAGTATGGACTTTCAGGGGCTGGAGGGAATGAGGGAGATGAGGGAGGAGGCTGCTACTGTCAGCCGGTGTCTCAGACCAAGGCAGGGAGGGGGTGTTCGAGGGGAGAGAAGGCAGTAGCTGCCATGCAGGAGGTTCTCCCTCACTAGACTGTACGTGGTCCTGAGTGGCTGGCGGAGTGTCTGCAGAGAGTGGGCGCTTCATAGATATTGTTACCTGGATGTAGAAAGAAGAGGGTGGTCGTGAGGCTCAGAGAAGAGTCCGCTCTCCCCGCCACCGGCAGAGCCCAGAGCAGAAGCAGCGATGACTTGGGCTCTCAAGCATCTCCCCCTGCTCTTGCACGTCTGCCTGGGGCCTTGCCGGGGCAGGGGTCCCCCCAGGTCCCCTGGGCAGCTCCCAAGTAAGGCTCCGGCCCCTCCCGATCCTCCCCCACACACTATGTCTCCCCTTCTCCCAGAGCACATTGGAAAAGCACAAGTTCTGCGACTACATTCAAGTCAGAACACAGAAGAGAAAGTGCCAAAGCCAAAGACAGAGTTCCAAGGAGTCTGCCCTGCTCTGCCCGCCCCGCTCTAAAGTCGGCCCGGAGTTCGAACTTGCTTTCGCCTCTACCACCTCAGCAGCAATACGTGCTTTCCTATCACACAGAGTCTATTAAAATAGGGTCTTCCCTTTAAGAGGACGGTTCCACTCTCCCATCTGCAGCAGGTCTGTGCTGGGGTCCTTTCTTCCCGGAGAGGGGGGTGAGCTGCGTGGAACCACCCCCACTCCCTTGGAGAGCTCCTGAACGCCACCGCCCACGTGGGGCTCCCCTTGTTCCTTTGCCTTCCAGGGAACAAAAGAGCAAATAGTGTCTGGGGCGGCCTGAGGAAGCCCTGCTGCTCCTTGAACCAAGGCCCACGAGGCTCTAGGCAGGTTAGGGCAGAGGTCAGGAACCCGCAGGCCTCCTTAAAACAATCATCAATACCAGTTGAGGTCCTGCCAGGCACTGAGGCAGGGACTTTGGTAATAGCTAGTGATGAACAATATTACCTGACCCCCAAACGTCAGGGGGCTTTGGCTAAATATAAATGACAGATTTGCGCAAGGGTCTTAGGATCTGCAAACTGGAAACACAACTAGGCAATTGCCCAGAGTGTTCCGAAGGAGAAAGAAAAGTCGAGGGTTTGTACAGTAAAAAGCTCACTCAGCCCTGTACTCGCAGCCCCCGGACTGGGCTGAGGTGGTATTTGTCAGGTGTCTGGTGGTCTGGACCACGGGACAGTTTCTTCCTGAGGTCGCTCGGCTGGTTCACTGCAAGTTGGATGTACGTCCAGGTATTTCCACACAACGCACTGACTTGCATCCAGGCTTTGACACAGGGTCAGAAAGTTCACAAGTTTAAGTTCCCAGGGTCAGTTAAAACAAGAAGAATTGTTTCCCCGTTGCCTCAGCCTACTTAATTTCTATAATTTAGCAGCTTGATGGTAACGACTCCATTTTATTTCTTCACTCTAGCCCCCAAACACTACATGAACTGTTCTACGTACTTTGTATGTGGCCCTCTATTTGAGTCTCCAGAAAGCTCTATGAGGTGGAGTATTCATGTTAGAACTACTGTTTTATACATGAGTGAACTGCGGCTCAGGAAGGTGAAACAAGTTGTCTGAGGCACATAATCAGCGGCAGACCCCAGATCCAAACCCAATATGTCTGGTTCCAGAATCCCTGCTGCACTCTACTGACTGTTTACAAACAGCACCCCTCACCAGGACTTGTGGCTACATTCCTGAAAAGTGTAACGGTTAGCAAGATGGTGGTTGACAAGGTCAAGGAGGAAAGGGGTGTTATCATATAAATGTGAATCATATACCCCCAGGGGTGTGTCTGTCTTTTAAGATCTGGAGAAGCTGGCCTTGACCCTCTGGGAAGTCCACTGTCATCCTTGAGATATCTGCAAATTCCCTGAGAGGTGCAGGGGAGGAAGGCCCTGAGGATCTACAATGCCAAAGTCACCTGTGGCTCTGTGCTCCTACTTCTCTGAGTTCAGTCCCTGGATTGTGGCTCCGTCCCACATTGCATCATTGCTCCACCTCACATCAGTTCAGGCAGATGAAGTCCCTCCGGGTTTACCCAAATACTCCATTCCCAGGAAACTTGTGTGCGGTGCTAGGCTTCAGTGGAGATTAGAGGCTGGATGTGAATTTGCTGTGAATCCAGCAAACAACTTCATGCTCAATATTAAATAGTCTTGGTTTTGAAAAGTCCTTGGCCACTCTACCAGGGGGAATTTTTCCTTGGTGGCAGCCTCTCGCCATATTGCTGGCTTTCTCCTCTGTCCTCTCCCCTGGCACCAGTTTCCTTCTAGAAAGCCAATGTTTTAATGCTTTTCCAATTTTTTATTGTGGTAAAATAGGTATCACCTAAAACATACTGCTTTAACCATTTGTAAGTGTACAGTTCAGCGGTGTTAAGCCGAGTCACGGTGTTCAGCCATTGCCACCATCCGCCTGCAGAACTCTTCTTGTCTATTGCAAAACTGAAACTGTGTGCATTAATCAATAACTCCCCATCCTCCGCCCCTGCCCACCCCTAGTCCCTGGCAACTGCCATTCTACTTTCTGCCTCTGAATCTGACTGCTCCAGGACCTCATGGAAGTGGAACCACACAGTCACACGCATTTGTCCTTTTGGGTCTAGTTTATTTCAGGCAGCGTAATGCCCTCAGGGCTCATCCACAATGTAACATGTCTTTTCCTCTCATGTTTATTTTTTTTATGGATGCAGCAGTTCAGCCTCTTCCCCCAACCTCTCCAGCCTTGCCTTGGCCTGTCCGACCTCATCACAGGTCTGTTCATGCAACAGGGTCCTTGCCCCTTGGCAGTTGTGGTTATGAGAATGTACCCTCCTCCACTACAAATAATTCAGAATTCACACAGCAAAAAAATTCTAGATGTCTACTTCCAAAATAAACCACCTTTGTTTGCACAAAAAAACCCTGGCTCTTTGGGTGATCCTTCTACCTCACCTTTGATTTTTCAGGAAATATTGCCACGCGGTGGTTGCCACTGCAGCTTCCCATGGTTTTCTCAGTCCACACACTGCACCTCTCATCAAATGTACCTAGTCCATCCTTCAATGTATTGATTCTGCTTTCTCCATCTGTTGTTTGCTTTTGCAAATCCATGCAAAATGCTGGCGTCGCTGCCGGGCCTTTGCACCCAATGGCCATTGCACTTAAAGAGCAGATGTTCCGGGGCCAGCTCCTCACCCGCCTGTTTTGAGGGTGGATGGTGAACAAGTATTTCTCAGCAGCCCCGAGGTCTATCAGGAGGGAGAAAGATAAGGACACTGAGTGGAACCGTGGACACACAGGAACACACAGTGGAAATAAACACTGTGATATGCAAATGGAAGCTACCATATTGCAAAAGAAAAAGTATGGCCCAACTATGGTTGTCTGAGATAACTTGACCTCATTCAGTGCTCACAACAATACATAAGGTAGGTGTAATTAGCCACGGTTTACAGTAACATGTCAAAGTTTACCCAGCCAGTAGGTAGCAGATTCAAGCCCAGGGCTGAGGGGCTCCTCAGTCAGTGCCCTTTCTGATACACTGCCAACATGCAGGCCGCACCCCGACTCTACAGTCTCCAGACAAAGAAGTAGGCTCTTCCCTCACTTCCAGCCATATCACCCCCTCTCTCAGTTCTTGCTCTCCAGCTCTTGGATATGGAGCAAGGCACGGCTGGCTCTGACTCCCGGGCCCTCTTTGAAGTCTCCCAACAGGAAAGCATCCTCTTTCCCCATCTGAAGGGAGTCATTGCAAAATCCCAGGGGGACAGCCTGCTGGGGGAGTGGAAGGTTCCAGACATCTGAAAAAGCACTGGTCAGAGTAGTCAGTGGCCTTCCTCGTCCGTCAGCTGCGCTGGGCCTGGGTCCCTCTCTCAGCTGCGCTGGGCCTGGGTCCCTCTGACCTTGTGCAGGCTGATTGCTGGGCTGTGGCCCGTGGGTCTGTCTGGCTTTGCACAGTCTCTGTGCTCTGCTTGGCAGCACTTCCTGTCTCAGTGGCTCGGCCCCATTTGACGTCTGGGTGTCAGGACACTTTAGGGTCACTCCTAAGTTTTTCCCTAAACCCGGGCCCTGGAGTTTCCTTACCTTCTGCTTCTCTGACTGAAGCATGAAGACAGATTTTCCCTTTGAATTATATCCATAGCATCATGGTCACGAGGTGTTATTTATAGAAGTTCCTCATACCATGAAGATAAATATAAATGTGTTAAATCAGCCCTGGCTGGTGTAGCTCAGTGGATTGAGTGCGGGCTGTGAAACAAAGGGTCGCTGGTTCAATTCCCAGCCAGGGCACATGCCCGGGTTGTTGGCCAAGTCCCCCAGTGGGGGCTACATGAGAGGCAACCACACATTGATGTTTCTCTCCCTTTCTCTCTCCCTTCCTCTCTCTCTCTAAAAATAAATAAATAAAACATTTAAAAAAGGAATTGTTCGGTCATCAAATGTCAGGGGGAAAAATAAGTGTGTGAAATCAAATCATTGGCCACCAAACTTCATCTGTTGTACTACCAGAGTGTACTCACCACCCCCTGAGAAACAGCGACTAGAACCAATAGCAACCGGAGACAAGAGAGCCACCTCAGGACTCTGGTTCAAGGGCACACGGGTTGGGGGGGGAGGGTCAGCTTATTGCTGCTCAGTTTGCTGGCTCATCCATCTCCTTGCCCCACCCATCCCACTTAAATAGATGTGAACGGGATGGAGACCCATTCCAGCAAAGGCAGGGAGGAGGGCTGTAACCTCACTGCTAGAACCGCAGGATCCCATTGTTGGGCTGGGGTCATTCCTCAGAAGCTCTGTAGCCCCTTCTGAGCCCATGCGAAACCCCACTGTGGCAGCCACAACATGGTGTCCAACTTCAGCTTAGACATCTGCAGTAACAGAGATCTCACCACCGTTACAGAACAGACCGGCAGGGATGGAATGGGGGATGAACGATATACTATTACCTAAAGGACTCCCCCATACTAGGTTTGCTTTGCCTGCCACCAGAGGAAAGATATCTCTCAATACCAGAGATTGGTGAAAAGGAAAGGAATTATTTATTTAAAAGCTATACAGACTTAGAGTAATGACTTAGTGTCTTCGTTAAAATACTAAAGTCTTTCAGAATACCCACAGATGCACACAGTCCTTCCTTCTCCCCTTTACCCAGTCCAGGGTATGGTATTTCGGGAAAAGAAGTAGAAGTCTGTGATTCAGGCTCCCAGCACCATCAGCGGTGTCGCCACCATGATCTCCAGTTAATCCAAAGCCATGTGGCACCTTCTCATGGCCCACCAGGCAAAGGGGCAGTGACACTTTCACCCCTTTTCTTCCAGGCAAAGTCTCTCTTGTTTCCTAAGCCACATGGCAAAAGGGACCAACCCGAAGCTGCATGGTCCCCACCTCTGCCAAGTCATCTGGTCCCAACCTGGTATGGCTGCCATGCCTGGGTTTAAATCCCCACGCCAATCTTCCTCTGCAGCCCCATTTCTGACTCCTCCCACACTCAGTTACACCTGCCAGCATTCCTGTATTCTACCAGCTTTACTGGGCTGCCATAGTTAAGTCTGGGCAGGCATGGCCCCATGGCATGGAGCCAATCATCTCCAAGTTCTCACGTAGGCATTGTAACGAGGAGGAGTTTATTCCCAGTTACATCCTGGGTGGAAGTCACTTCCATCCCCCTGTCTCAAAGCACAGCCATAGCTATCTAACATATCCATGAAACCAGTTAAAGACTATAGGTATGTTAAATGAGCATGCCAGAGGTTATCTGCAAAGCTGTTGCTGTATAAAACAGCTCTCAATGGCCCTGCTCCATGTGCCCCTTCCCCAGCGCAGACTGGTGGGGGTGAGGACATCATATATATTTTTTTCTCTAATATCTCCTGGACACCCTGAGTTCTGGACCCCATTACAAATCCCCATTTGGGCCCTCAACCTTGGCTGTATCCGGTTACACTATCTGTCATAGCTGCTCCAAATTTAGTTTTGTCCTTGGAGCTACAGTGATCAAGTCTCTCCTTCCCCTGGCTCATTTTGCCCAAGTCAAAACTCTGCTGGAAGACTAGATTAGACCACGCCTCCTTTCAAAGCTTTTATACTGTTAGGAACCGCCCTGCCTGATTTCAGAAACTGTAGCCCCTCATGGCTAAGATTGAGTAAAAAGATCTTGGGACCATAAGCCATTAGGGAGACAAAGCTTATCTTCCTCATATGGGTGCAGCCTCTGCCCCCTTTCACTTCACCCTGCTTGCCACCAGGCAGATGACTGGTTAGCCAATGACAGGTAAGATTCCTCAAAGGAGGGATGATCTAAGACAGGCACGGTCTTGAAGGGGCCCTAAGGGAAGGACTTGGGGGGCTACAGAAAAAAGGGGTGATGGATACTTGCCCCTCAGCTTTGACACAGCCCGAGTCCTCATTCTGTCTGTAAGAAGTCTCCTAATCACTTGGCTGCATTACTTCCCCTGCCCAACTTGAGCCTGAAATAATGCCTTAAGCCTGAAACAATGCTAGAGGTGGGTGCAGCCCTGTGATGGAAAGGGCGGGTTCCCCGGGGCAATCAGGCCTAAGAAGGAATGCAGGAGATCCTGAGAAACCTGCTTTGCTAAGAATGTCCTCAAATTAAATGATAAAGGTCCAAGCATGAAAAGAGTGTTTCCCCAACGTTTTATGGCCCTTTAGTTATCTGACTCTGATGCAAATTAAACCCTCAGAGTTCTCCAAATGTTATCTATTGTTTGATTCTTACTGTCTGACAATGATTGATGAGCTTTACCTGTATTCCTTTGCAAATTAAACCCAATAAAAGCCCACTGAGGAACAGACTCCTGGCCCTTCTTCTCCTTTGAGAGATCAGCCACCTTTCCTCCCCATGCAGATCATGTCTTGGTAGACTTATTCTCATCCGTGGTGGCCGGGGAGCCCTGTGGGCAGAGTCCCCCCATTATACTTTTCATTTTTTAATTTTTCTTATTGTGTTAGCTAATACTTTCATAGAATGTAGTTAAGTGATGTTAAATGATAGTAGGCATTTTAATATTTGTAAACAGAAATGCTAAGCATAAGTTGACTGCTTATATATCAAATATATGTCAACTGAAATATATATTTATAAGTGTTTTGTTCTTAAGTGCTTAATCTGCATTGTAAACTTATAAGGAAGTTACTGGCATTATGACAATTTTGCAGATAAGGAACTGAAAAAGAAGTAACTTACTCAAGGTCATACAAACAGGAAGCAGATTCCAGATTCAAATGTGGCAGCTCAAGTGGGCAGAGCCCAGGCCCTTGACCCTGTCTGGTCCATAGTAACTCCACGTGGTAGAGACTGGTATTAGCACAAGTTTATAGAGGAGAAGCCAGAAGAGAGGTTAAGTTGGTCCAAACTCCAACAGCTTGCACGTATATCCTTCCCTGGGTTCACAGAACGATCTTAGGGTTCACCTCTGCTGCACACTGGATACACTTCTTCTGCGTGCTGCGTGATTTTTCTCAAATCTGTCTTCTATTTCACTGCCTTGGTCTCCAACTACACCCTTGATATTACTTTACTCTATTTATTGACACTGTGATGCTGTTATTTTTGTCTTTCGTTTCTCTTCTTAGCCCACACAACCTCCTTTTCAACTCTCTATTCTCCACTTCAAACTCTCATTTCAAATGGTTTGTTATCTTTAATTTTTTGAGAACACACAACATTTCTTCTATAATATTATCTTCTATTCCTGGGGGTGTCTTCTTCCAGAATGTATACTTCATCATTCTTTGGCATGCTGTTTCCTCTCTCCCTTTCCTTCCTTCTTTGACTCCTCCCTCCCTTCCTTTTTTCCTGTAGCATTTTTTGCATGGGTACCATATGCACAAACTGTGGCTTCTTGATTCTCCTCTTTGTTCACCTGTGCCCT